CTACCAAGTTGAGAAAGCAAGTGATTTTGGAAGGGTACTTACCGGACCTTAAAACCCCACACTCCCCTCTCTTACCCCATGTAAGGTTCTCTTCAATATAAAGAAAAAATTTTACAGTATCAGTAAAGAGGGGTTTTAAATATTTCATTGATTCCCAATGGGAAACATATTTCCAATATTAAATTTATGCAATTTATTATTACGTGGGAGTGGGCTTATGATAAGTTCAAATTAAGTTAAACTAAAAAAATTGTTTTTTACCTAAACTGTTAAAAAAACATTAAACATGAATACATTTTTTTTATAATATCTCATTAACTTTATTAAGGAACCAAAAAATTTGCAAGGAATTGTGAAAACATTTTTACCTACCAAAAAACCTAGGGATAATTCCTAATTATGGGTCTTACTGTATCTTAAATTAAAAAAAAAATGAGTTAAAAAGTGATTGCGCTTAAATTTTAAATTAAAGAAATAACAAACAAAAGCAATTAAACAGGGAGTTACCTCATCAATTTCAGCTCAAACTTGTGAGTACCTTGGTTCTTAATGAAGCTTTTAAAATCCAAATGAAAAAATTATTTCAAAAATTTAAGGTTCCATCCCATAAAAATTCCAAATCTATTTTATGCTACAAAAAAAAAATATAATTATTTACTTTTTCCAAAAAGCCAGGTTGATAAAAGTTGTTTCCCTAACAGAAAATTCCCAAAATGTTTTTTAAAACCATTGGATCTTTAAAATAACTATTTATAAAACAAAAGTCCATTTGTTTCTTACTCCTGGAAAATAGAAACAAATTTTTTGCTTTTGTTTTTTCTTTTTTTGAATCTATTTATACTTGTTCTTAAATGGATAATATTTTTACCAATTTATTAAACATGTAACAACCAAACATAAACTTGTATTTAATTATTGCCACATTTTTTTTAATTACTGAAATATTTTGGAAGTTAAAAACTTAACCAAAAGGGAAATGGATTTATATTTCATTGAATCTAAAATATTAAACAAAAAAATTAACATTTATTTATATACCAATTCATTTAAAGTATTGTTCCCAATGCCTTATAGCAATTAAATATTCACTGTGTACATGTACTTATTTGTGGTGGGTGGATGGTGTTATTGAGGGAGGTGATTGAGGGAGCTGTTGGTATTCAACTTAAAACCTATGGTCTTATTGTGACTTTCAAGAATAAGAATGTCTTCTATATTTAAATGTCATATTTCCCTACCTTATTATTTCAAGCACAAGCAAGAACTTGAATAGAATCATCTACTTTCATCAAACAGTTTTAATTCCTGTAAAATTGAATTAATTTTTTTTTAATTCAATTAATTAATGATTTGGTCCTATTAAATTCATTATTTAATTCAAACCTACAAAATAAAAGGCAAGAGGTTCAAGGTCAGCACTTTAAAACTGTTCTAGAAAGCCTCATCACCAGCCCCACATTTGTATGAGAAACGATATTGTCCATGTATATGTAATTAGATAGTGTCCATTAATTGCTTAACAGTCTTCTCTGCTGTCATTTTCAGCAATATTAAATGTTTATTAACAAACTTATAAAGTTGATTCATCCATTTGGGCTCGTATGAAATTATAGTTACTTTGTTACTTGTATTATTTACCTACTATTTAAAAATAATTGTACAAAATCATTGTATTCTTCACAATGTCAAAGTGTGACAGACTAACTAACTTAAGGCCTGTCAAAACTATATTCACTATGTAATGATCAAATATGACAGCCAATGAAATATATTCATATTGAAATAGTCATAGTTCCACTTTTATGGAAAAGAAATTGTTGAAAACCTATCCAATGCATAACAAAAGTAATGAAACAATATACATCATCATTGTACAAATAAAATTATATATATTGAAAATAAACAGAAATCATAACACAATAAAGTACATGTGAAAATTATGCTTACAGTATGTAATTAAATGTAAACAATTAAGATATAGAATCAAAACTAAATAAACAAAGAAGAGCAACTTACAGTTTGGATTTTCTTACAACCTAAAAAATATCTCAAGTTTTGGTAATGTAAATATTGATTGAATAATGCTTTTCTAAGGAACTTCATTGGGATTTTTGACACAATGGTACCGTTTTCTTTTCTTTTTTTCTTTTTCTTTTTTGTGTACCATTTGATGTCTAGGTCCTTAACTTGTGTACACAATATCAAATCGTTTTTCATGTTTTCCAGAATAATCAACTTTATAGTGAAAATTGACTAAAAATTAAAAAGTATTACATAAGTATTGCTTTTAACTCAAATCAGGCCAGGAATTGCACAAAAATTGATTTTCAATATAACTTAAGTGTCTTAGTTGACCAATGTTATGTGATTTTACCTTAGAAGTATGCCTATACAAAAACATGAAAAACTTCTTTTAAAAAACGTATATTTAAAAGTAAACTTTATAAAAAAAATGTTAAACAACCTCAAATAATCAGCCACTGGGTAATAACAACCTCTCTCAAAAAGCTTATCTGTCAAGACATAAAAACAGCACCCTTTATATAAAAAACAATAATAAAACAAAAACAGCATAGTTATAGCTTTCTGCCATTTGTATGCCATATAAAATAAAATTAATTTCAATAAAATCATAAACTTTAGAAAATAAACATTTATAATATTATGTACATTTTAAAAAGAGTTTGTTCATTTCATTTCAAGTAAAGTCCAGTGTACAATAATAATTGTATACATATAACTTAATTAGCATTACTGAATTCTTTTGAACCAGTATGATATTTTATACTAAACTGTAAGACAAAGGCTGTATGACATTCATCTAAATAAAGCTGTCATCTCATTGGTCCAAACAGTAGTCAACAGAACTTTTTATAAAATCATATTCACTGGGTGTAGTATCATAATTATTCACTGGCTGAATTGGATTTTCCCAGTCTAAAAATAGACCAAGACTCATATTCAATGGCCATTTATCATTGACTGTTGATAATGTGTGCTTATTAAAAAAGAAATAATTGTTACGTTTTGTTCTTAATGGTATATTTCTCGATTAAAATAGCATTACTTTACTATCATAGTTGAAAGTTATATCAAATTGATGAGTATAAACTTGAATTACTTTTGTATGCGCAGCAGCGTTCACGTTGTTACCTTTTGTCACCTTTTTTCCAACAGGCAAAAGTTGTACATTTAAAAAGTTGTACTTTCTGTGATTTTTTTTTTTTAAATAATTATAGCCTAATCATATAATAAAACAATTATTGACTAGTGTGCCATTGACTATGAAGGTGATATTCACCCGCAGAAAGACATATTGAACTCGGCAATCGCCTCGGTCAATATGTCATCTGCCGGTAAATATCACATCATTTTCAATGGCATACTAGTCAATTATTGTTTGTTAAGGTATACAAGCACATCAATATTATGTGTCACAAAATTACAAATCTTCAATATTGCTATCAACTAAGCTGGAAGTCTCTTATGGAAAAATTTACTTAAAAAGTACAGCTACACAAATTAAACCTATGACATAAAATGATCATAATATATAGTAAAAAATATATAATGGATAAAATTAAAAAACAAAAAGAACAGAAATATACATTGCTTTCACATGAAAAGATCTAGTAAAAAGAAATTCCTCAAAAAAATGTTTTTATATTCCACATATAAATGTTACTATACAAACAATTACAAAAGACATTCAGCACATGTTAAGGAGATCATATTGGTCCCTGGTTAAATCTCTAGTTTATACAAGATTTGCATACAAAAACAATACAAATACATTACATATAGAGTAATTGCAAAATGACTGCATTTTAACTTTTAACATTTTAACAGTTTTAATTGTGACTTTCAATTTAACAGAAATAATGACTTTTCCATTCAAGACAATGCAGACTTAACTCAAATAATATTGCTTTGTAACAATGTTGATTGGTTCCACAAGAACAAGGCATTTTTTAAAACTAAGTGAACTTATTTTTATTCTTTCAAACAAGAGCTGTCAGAAGGACAGCGCGCTCGACTTTTTTAGTGCTTGCCTATAAAACAAAACTTTGACAGTTAAGGGCACACAAGACTTTAACTAGGAATTTCTAAGTACAAATCAAGAAACATTTTCACAGAGTTATCTTCTCTTGCTTACAGATAGGTCTCATGATGGCACATAAGAACTCCAACTTCCAAAGTAATATCTCAAATGGTTAAGTCAACAAGTGGACAAGAATGAAAATCTTAACTGAGTTTCTAAGTCAAAAAGGGCCATAATTCAAATAAAATCCTTAACAGAATTACCTTCTCCTGCCCATGTTTTGGGACCATGATGGTAAACAAGTATTCCAACTTTCAAATTAATATCTCAAACAGTTCAGTCAAAAAGTGGACTGGTACTAAAAACTTAACCAAGATTCTAAGTCGATAAAAGGCCTTAATTTTTAAAACAAATCCTTGACAGAGTTACCTTCTCTTGCGTACAGATGGGGGTAATGATGTGAAATAGCATTAAAAGTTTCAAAGCAATATCTCAAAGTGTTAAGGCAATAAGTGGATTTTACCCATATTCAATGTATTTTCTAAGTCAAAAAGGGGCATAATTCTGTCAAAAACCTTGACAGAGTTATGTCCTCTTGTCTGTTGATGAAGGTCGTGATGGTAAACAAGTATGGTCAGTTTCAAAGCAATACCTCCAATGTTTTGAAATAAAGTGAGGTGGTACAAAAAACTTAACCAAGCTCAATACACTTTCTAAGTCAAAAAAGGGCCATAATTCTGTCAAAAAACCTTGACAGAGTTATGTACTCTTGTCTGTAGATGGAGGTTATGATGGTGAACAAGTATGGTAAGTTTCAAAGCCATACTTGTAATACTTCTGAAATAAAGTGGGGTGGTACGAAAAACTTAACCAAGGTGTGACGCCAACGCTAACGCCGACGCCGACGCCGGGGCGAGTAGGATAGCTCCCCTTTTCATAGAAAAGTCGAGCTAAAAATATATTACAAGATTTAAGTACAGGTATAAACAATTTCCAACTGAATTCCTTATTCCATCAACCAATATATCAAGTTTTGGTACAGGTAAAATTGTTCAGACTGAAATTCTTATTCATTCAATTTCTACTACTGTAATACAATGTACAAATAAAAATCAACTATAATAATTTTATTAGCATGAAGAGACTACAGGGACAGGTAAAAGTTTCCCTACTTTACTGAAGAAAGATGATCACAGAGATGTTTAAGTGGAAAATTGCAATAACTTGTTCTTGTGTTCACTGTTTCATTTGAGCCGTGTCACACCAGAACCAACATAGTGCGTTTGAGACCAGCATGGTTCCAGACCAGCCTGCGCATTCGCGCAGACTGGTCATGATCCCTGCTGTTCGCTATCAGTTTCTCTACTTGTAATAGGGTTGGTAAGTTAATGTACAATATACAGTAGTTTCCTGGGCAACCATGACAACATCAGGCACTTACAGTAAACATCATGTATATAAAGTACTACAAAACTTGCATGGTAAGGTTGTAATTCTTCTAAGACATAATTGACGGTTTACTTTCTTGCAAAATTAAGCAAAGTGACATCAACCACAAATCTTATTGCTTAAACTAAAAAGGAAATATTTTTCAAATGTAAAAAGTACTTATAAGATTAAATTTGTAAGACCTATATGCAATAACTCTCTTTCGTAGATGAAATTTTTTGGCTTAAAAATTATACAAGTAAACATTTTAGCACAAACTTGAACAAGATTTTTTCTGTTCCTCATAAAAATTCTATAGAAAGTAATGACAGAAAAATAAGTAAATTTCTTTGACAAGAGGGTTAAAACAAATACAAATATCCAGGATTTAAGGTATCACAAAATAACAATTATTTTTTTGCAAATACAAAACAATAATACAACAACCTGAGTCATCAAATTAAATGCTATTTCTGAAATCTAAACAAGAAAAATGTACGCCATTGAAAACAATGTACTATATGACTAAACACTACTTTTTCTAGGTCTTTCAAACAATGGCACTTAAATGACTTCATCACCAAACTGTTCTTTTAAGCCAGGAAGAGCATATAGGGACATCTTCCAGGTAAATAAACAGTTCTTCAATACAGCTTTCTGAAATACAGCAAGAAAAAAAACATTAAAAACAAAATACAGTAGATCTAAGGTATGTCAAAGTTTAAGGGACTTGCATAAAAACTTCAACACATCGGGACTTCCACTCATAAAGCGGTCTCATTTTAAAGACAAAACTTTGTGCCATTGATGTTTACAAGTATGTTACGAAAGGCATAACAAAAGGAAAGGGTGATAACCAGGTTATACATGTAGAAATATATCCCCTGTTATTATCGTGCAACACCAAGTCTCGAAAAAATCTCAAATGAAAATAATGTATACAGTTTATATTGAAATACAACAACAGCAATCAGAATGATAACAGTTCAAGAATATTCTCACAATAAAGAAGACAAACAAAGGCTGTTAGTAACCAGGGCCGTGTAATTCACAGCTGCCATACAAGTTGATCGACAATCATTTTTGCGGGTAGAAATGGTTTCAAGAACATCTCAAGATCAAAGGTATCAAACAAATCATTGCACTTCTACTTATGAAGAAGTAAAATTTTCTCGAATCATTCTTTACAGATAACATAAAAACTTCGACACATGGATAAAATGGACACATAAAACTTTTAACTCATAAATAGTTTTAATAAAGGCTTTATAGTGTTAAAAAAATCAGGAATTTCATTTTACCTCAACATACAATGTATAGAAGTTCTACCGAATAACTTAAAAGAAAATGTGTTCAGTGTAACCTCTGCTGAACAACCCCCTTTACATAACAGATATTTTGGTTGTTGCTGAGGTAGTGCTCAAGCTGAGGTTAAATTTAGTGTTAAGTCTTACTACAGGATGCGCTGATATGATTTATGTCAAGACAAGATATATTATTACTAGGGATGGCAATAAATACCAAAATCAATACTCGAGTACTCGGGTCATTTTTCCAATCGAGAACTCGGTTACTCGGACGATTTCCAATGATCTTCAAAGTTTATCACATAATATCAACACCGTCCGCATGCTACTTTCGTTTTCTATTTACATTCATAAAATTCGTAACTATAGACAGGACTGCAAAGGAGACAAATTAATCAAAATTAAATCCACGACATTATATTTTAGAACATTTTAATTAATGCAACATGTTTAACAGTTGAAACATCTTTTTCTTCTTGTAATAAAATAGACTGATCGGCTGCAACAAAAGTTTAACTGGGTCTAAGTACTACTTTAATTTATAGCAATACGGCCCATTGTTTTTTTTAAAGATGTAACCTTAAAACAAGATTCGGGTACAAACTGCACTGTGTTACATAATTAAAAGTTACTAAATAACTAACAGGCCGGATGACGTAAGCGACACATGTGCGCGTGTCAAACTGTTGATCGCCTCATTATCAGATGTTCGATCGAGTACTCGGTTAACTGGTTACTCGTTGCCATCCCTACTTATTACCTTTTATAACACCTGTTATAATATTGTACATCTCCGTCTTTTGCCTTTGTGGGTTTTGAGCTGTTTCTTGAATTCTTTTGGTTGCTGTCTGCAACAGAAATATAATATAAATTATAAATAATATTCTACATTCAAACTTGCTCTTGATTTCTTGTTTTCCTTGTTTTATCTTAACCTGTGACTATCTTAAAGCTGTTTTTGTACAATATTTTCAATAGAAATAGATCGTTACTATGATTCTAAGGAATCAGATTTAAATTCTGAAGTGAATAATCAAACAAGAGGGCCATGACGACCCTACATCACTCCTCTGAAATCCATTGCCTTCGAGTCAACTCAATAGAAATTAACTAAACATTATGCAACACACTAGATCATTTTAGCTATAAGCCTTATGCATCGAGAGAAGATTGTTTTAGGCTTTCCCAATATGAGTCTCCATATAATCAAGTGACCCCCAAGGGCAAGATCAAACTTAATAGAGATCTAATGTACATTGATACACATACACTGGCAAAGCTTGTGGCCTTGTTATTATTGAGAAGACTTGTAAAGGTTTTTCCTAAAATTGAGACCATGTAAAAACAAGTGGCCCCCACATCAAGGCCAATTTTGATCCTAAGGATACGATTTGAAGGAAGTTTGTAAATGTCCACCAGAAAATGTTACACACCAAATATCTAAGCTGAAGGTATTCGGTTTTAAGAGAAGAATTTGTTTAGAAAGTTTACCTAGGTGACCCCCAGGGCTGGGCCAATCAAACCCAGGCACATAATCAAACTTGGAAGTAGTCCAGTTTACGATATTTTACTGCAAAATCTAAGCTCTAAGCCTTACAGTTACAGAAAGAAATTTTTTTTAAAGATATTTATATACATGTATGTAAAACCAGCTGATCGTAGGGCAGGGCAAATTTTGACTCTAGGGTACATTTTACCAGTAAACTGTGAGTATACAGGGTTCTCCTCTTACCTTATAACTCTCACAACATCATGAAAGGCCAAGTCTACATTCACTGGTGGATCTTTAGCACTTGTTTCTATATATGGAAGCTGAAAAAAGTTAATCACAAAGTCAATTAAGTTTATTCTGTATTACCCCATCACAAAATTTACTACCATATAAAAACAGAACCATTGATAGCTCAATTTTTGTATTTTGATATTGAAATCTATGATCTGATTGTACCAAATTAGCTCGACAAATCATATACACAAATATAGCCTGTTAAAGGTTAACAATTATTTACAATATTTGCAGTTTTGTGTTTGTATTTTATAAAAGGAAAGTATTTAACATGAAACTGGTTCAAACTAATAATAAACAAACAGAATAACCATGACAAAATGTTTCCATTATTTTGCTGTCTTCAAACCTGCACTTCCTTCAGTGTAACTGAAAGTGATTAGCCTTTGCCTTTGCCTGCGCCAGGGCAGAATGCACATACCAAATGCTAAACTGTGGGCTGACTAACTTTGTACTTTTATCTTGGTATCTGCTAAACTGGTAATGGTCGGTTTCATAAATGGAAGCTGGGCAAGTGACAAGTCCATTTAAGAAATTCAGCAAGATCAGATTTAAGGAATTAAAAATTACAGGTTTTTTTTATCAAGGAATACCTGTCAGGTGGAATGACTGCTGAGACCAAAAGGATGACCATCAAAAAAGTGTGAAATCAAGAATAACTGAAACTAATATAGATCTGTGTTTAATGTTTTATAATCATCCTTTAGTGAGTAACTGTAGCTGTTACAATATTAAATTAATGTAATAAAAATAACATTTAATTTGGTAAATTTAATCCACTACTTTTTATTTTAATCATTCACCAAGTTCCTAAGTAAGAGTGGTGATAGTAATATAACATAGACTACCTTTAAATGAGCTGCAAGAGATCTTCCTTGTTCTTCTGACACTTTTCTCTGCTGTACTAAATCTATTTTGTTAGCTACAAGCAGCATAGGGTATGCATCTCTAAAAGAGAAATTTATATACATTAGTATCAGCAAATTTTTACAGTTGACATATACACAAAAGATTGCAAATGCAAACTTTCATGAAAATTAAGATATAAGTAAATAAAGTTGCCATAGTTGTCTCTTTACACATTCTATTGTGGAAGTTACTTTCAAGCATCAGACAGTATCACTATCAAAACAATCACCTGTTCAGTTATTAAACAATTTTACCAATACATGTACATGTCTATAAAAGTAACTGAAGAATACAAATAAAACTAGTTATTGTCACAGAAGGCCAGACCAACAAGCTGACTCCTATATACCCCCCTTAACTTCATTTCATATTCTTACTTGTCTTTAACTCTAAGTATCTGTGTATGAAAGCTCCGCATATTTTCATAACTTGCTGGATCTGTAACTGAGTAAACTAGCATAAAGCCATCTCCCTTACGCATGTACTGTTCTCTCATTGCACCAAATTCTTCCTGGCCTGCTGTGTCCAGTACTGAAATCATCCATCAATATATCAATACTTCAAAATAAATTCATGTTGTTGTATTATTGAATATTGTACATGTAAAAGGGTAACATTTTTCAAATTTGTTGTCAGGAAGAAGACTTTTGCATTACTGTTTAATTTTTAATATTATTTAAAGGAAAACTTTTGTTTATTTTATTAATACTTTTTAAAGGAAAATTATTTTATTGGTTTTAACTTAAAGACTCCTATTACAACTCCTATTACAAGTTCAAATTGCTTTGAACTATGAAAAAAGCTTCAATACTGTTTAAACTTGGCACAAATGTTGACTGGACCATAGTCTTTATAACCACATACTCAATCTTATATTTCCTGTTACCATGGCAATGAGGGGACATCATCACTATTTTGCATTGATTTTTTCATCAAAACTGATTTCAAAGTGCTGCAACCCTACTATGGATTGAGATAGAGTTAAAACCTTTTCAGCATTGATAACAGGTTACCTAACAAGAGCTGTCCGTAAGACAGCGCGCTCGACTTTTTTATTGCTTGCCAATAAAAAAAGTTTTTGCAGTAAAAGGCAATACAAGAATCTCTGTATTTTTAAAGTGAACAATGGCCATGAGCATTAAGATATTTAGTGAAGAATTATTTTACTGAATTGTGTGAAAAAATAACTAGTTGTTTGATACCCTTGAATATTACAGCAATGTTTATATGACATAATTTATGGTAAAGTGAACAAGTGGATAGGAATGAATTTTTTAGATTTTTTAAGTTTTTTTAGTGCTTGCCTATAATACAAAACATTGACAGTTAAGGGCCATAATTCAAATAAAATCTTTGACAGAATTACCTTCTCCTGGACATGTTTGGGAATCATGATTGTAAACAAGTATTCCAACTTTCAAATTAATATCTCAAACAGTTCAGTCAAAAAGTGGACTGGTACTAAAAACTTAACCAAGATTCTAAGTCGATAAAAGGCCTTAATTTTTAAAACAAATCCTTGACAGAGTTACCTTCTCTTGCGTACAGATGGGGGTAATGATGTGAAATAGCATTAAAAGTTTCAAAGCAATATCTCAAAGGGTTAAGGCAATAAGTGGATTTTACCCATATTCAATGTATTTTCTAAGTCAAAAAGGGGCATAATTCTGTCAAAAACCTTGACAGAGTTATGTCCTCTTGTCTGTTGATGAAGGTCGTGATGGTAAACAAGTATGGTCAGTTTCAAAGCAATACCTCCAATGGTTTTGAAATAAAGTGAGGTGGTACAAAAAACTAAACCAAGCTCAATACACTTTCTAAGTCAAAAAAGGGCCATAATTCTGTCAAAAACCTTGACAGAGTTATGTACTCTTGTCTGTAGATGGAGGTTATGATGGTGAACAAGTATGGTAAGTTTCAAAGCCATACTTGTAATACTTCTGAAATAAAGTGGGGTGGTACGAAAAACTTAACCAAGGTGTGACGCCAACGCCGACACCGACGCCGGGGCGAGTAGGATAGCTCCCCTTTTCATAGAAAAGTCGAGCTAAAAATATGGTCGACCCGAGGCCATTTTAGATTTATAGCCTCTCACAAGTTCAAAATTTTCTTGAAATGAGGGGGTCTGCTGCAACTTCTAAATGGATTGAGATAGAGTCAAAGGCTTTTCAGCATTGATTACATGTTACCTTAAGGTCGACCTGAGGCTATTTTAACCTCTCACAAGTACAAAATTTTCTTTGAAATGAGATGGTCTGCTGCAACTTCTCAATGGATTGAGATAGAGTCGAGATGAGGGGGTCTGCTGACCCCTTCAAACCCCAAAGCAGAAGGGGGCACATCTACCCCCTCTGGCACCCACTTGATGTATCTATTTGATAGGGGGATGGCGCAAAAAAAGTGATCACTTTTTTAACACTATTTCTCAAACGAAAACTAGTGTTTGGGGTAAAAATAGGGCATTTTTTCATGAGTGTAGGACAAAAGCCCTCCCGAACAAAAGCCCTCCCGTGAAAATGACAAGGCGGACAAAAGCCCTCCCATGGAAATAAAAGGGCGGACAAAAGCCCTCCCGCAGCAAATACATATATGTACCTTGAATAGTTTATATTTTCTTTTCAATGCACTCAACATATTTAAATTGTAATCATGAATATTTTTGTTTTTCATTGGCATAAGCATGTTTGCGTGAGCTTGAGCATATTTCTGACAGGCATCTGAATAATTAGTGCTAAAATCTGTAAGTGCACATTTATTCATGCACGTAGATATGAAGAATTACTCCTATGTGAAGTTTAGATTAATAGAGTAATAAATGATGAAAAGAACTTAACAGTTTAAGACATTTATAATGTGCCTTGTAATGAGTCAATTACTTTTAAATTAACAACATTCGTGTAAAAAGTTATCTCGTTAAACATTTCAGGAAGGTATATTCAGAATAAAAGGTGATTCATACACATACTTAAGTCAATTGAAAACAAAAAGAAATATATGTAACAATTTTAATATGTTGAGTGCATTCGAAAAAAACACAGGTATTCAACAACATATTTACTTTTGTTACGGGAGGGCTTTTGTCCGCCATGTTAATTTCACGGGAGGGTTTTTGTCTGCCCAGTCATTTTCATGGGAGGGCTTTTGTCCGCCCTGTTATTTTCACGGGAGTGCTTTTGACCGCCCTGTCATTTTCATGGGAGGGCTTTTGTCTGCCTTGTCATTTTTTGATGGAAGGGCTTTTGTCCAGGAGGGCTTTTGTCCGTTTCCCTAATGGGTTGAAAGTCTAATTTAAAACTGTAAGTGAAAATAGAGATAATTTAAGTGACCAATCATGCTATAACAACGTCATAACTCATGTCTCACATACTTATTGATTAATCCATTTACAAAGTGTGTTTAATTAAGATTAGTAGCTGAAAAGACTAATATCGGAGCTTTGTGGAGATGAAAAGATCAGGGATCTCTCAGAGATGTCTTTGAGATGAATAGATAAGAGGCAAAATGTCCTGACGGTGAAACAACCAGGGTCAAATGTGGAATGATCAATGAATAATAATCAATCGTAATGAGTCACCACTTACTAAACATCAAACTATTTTGTACATGAAAAGATACAAATATTATATATATATGCATATTTTTAGCAGATTCAAATTCTTCTATTGTACAATATGAATATATTTAATATCAATTTCTTTACTTTAGAAATCAAACATACATTCATAAACTTGAAAGTTAAATATTGCTAAAATTTACTGCAAAACAACTCCTAATGTAGAATCTATCTATTATCTAGAAAATTAATAACAAGTTTACCATCTAAGATACACCACTCCCCATCTATCTCCGTGTGTTGAATGTATGAGTCTTCAATTGTTGGATCATAATCAACAACAAACATTTTCTGAAAGAACTGTATGGTGAGTGCACTTTTACCAACACCTCCATCTCCCACAACTACAAGTTTGTAAGTTGTCAAATTATTGTCGTTTGGAGCTCGTGACATTGTCTTTTATCAATAAGGCTCTTTACTCAAACAGCCGATAATGAAGAAACAGAATCTAAATCCATGAAATATAACTCGTTAAAATCAGAAAGCGCGAAATTACTATGTAAACACAACTTTCGCAATAAATTTCATGGGAGCGGCCATTACTACGACCTTGAACTTCCGGGTTTTAAATGAAAAATAATCGTAAACGAAATTTATGCTGGAGTTCCTTCCCCTTACACTGCATAAAAATTTTCAATGCTTAAAGCTTTTAAAAGGTTGAAAAGGTTAGACTTAATAAACACTTAATAAATTGACTTCTTTACTTCACAAAATCGTTTTCAATTGTAAGAGAAATAATCTATTTTAGAATATATTTAAAGAGATATATGGTTAACTTCTAAAAATAGTTTACTGTACTGTCAATACCATTGGTGGCTATTAATAATTTTTAAAGTTCAAAAATAGTTGAAATAACTTCGCAATACTTGACTGCCTCATAACTTTATATAGAAATAAAAAAAATGAGGACACAACTGAACAGAAACATGTAGGCCTACTATTTGAAATTTGTTTGTAAACATCGTCATGCCATGGTGGATTAATTTAATTTAATTGTGAGTAGTGTTAATGGCATTTTATGAACAACAGATAAAATCTAAATAAAGCTTTTAAAATCTCCTGTTGACCAGTATTCATTTATTTATTTATTTATTCTAGATTCACAATTAACAATTAAATTATGATCAGACATGTCTAAAATTAAGTCCCAGGACATACATTGTATATGGATTTTTGCACAATTTGCACAATGCGCATATAGTTCTTATTACCTATTGCTTAATATGAATTAGTAACGATTCGCCACACTAACGATTCGCCACATAACGATTCGCCACAGAGTAATAACGATTCGCCACAGTTAAATAACGATTCGCCACAGTATGATTATAACAATGATTTTTTAGTAATCAACAAACTTTTTCCTTTTCTTTTAATAATTTGACAATGACAATAATTTAATAATGTTTCTTAATACAAGTAATATGAAGTTAAGGCCCCCATCGCGGATTTTCAATTTATCAAAGTAACATTATTACAGGAGTACATTAACAAGAAAGTAATTATATGTTGAAATAATTATTGAATTACTCATAAACATAATTATATGTCAATTAATATTTATATATAAATATAGAACAGAAAGTTCTGTTATATAAATATATAGTTCATATATTATAATATATGTCAAATATTTAAACAAAGTATTGCAAAAACGTGTGTTCATACGAAAATTGATTTACGATAATTGATTAAATAACGCATATGTAAAACATTTGTCACACCTTTAATTTAAACAAGCCAATCACCTTAGGATTGTTGTAGAAATATTTAATTGACGCCGAAATAATCCTTTAATTATCTTGACAATGTATTCAGATTTCAAAACAATGCGGCAATTAAGCTTATGTTTTGTTTACAAATTAATTTGAGCGAGCCGATATATGCGATTAAGAGGGTTTAAATAGCTTAAACACATACATAAAATAGTATACAAACGAAAAATAACGAAAATCAGAATCATGCCAGCTCCTCCTTGTTTATTCTGTTTAAGATGTATCTACAGTAACCACGTTGCTGTAACATATGTAGCAAGTGTCAAAGATGGCATCATGTATAAAAATGTGGAAACCCCAGCGTCGCTTGAAAAACGTTTTGTTCTCAGTGCCATTTTTTTTTGTTTTTGAGAAAAAAGCATATTAAGATTTAGTATTGCATAACTTTTATTTTTAATTGTCGGATTTTGAAAATTTAAAAAACTACTAAACGTTGGTGTCGGAGAACAACTCAATATCGTTAAAGATTTGTGGATTTTAATATTTTCTTGCTTAAAAAACCTAAGAAAACATTTGGAGATAGAACAGTCCTTGTAACTTTTTTTCAAAAATTGTTAAATCAAAGTGTTCAAATGTGACTTAATGTGTCTTTTAAGTTGAATTGATTTATGTCACATAAAACAGAAAGGCTGCCAAAAATGTTCTCGGCTAATTATCCATTGTTTAGTAGTCTTTGAGACCACATTTATTTTCGTAGACCATATGCATCTATGACATTTTGAATTTTTATTTCCAGTACATTATTAATGACATTAAAACAATAATATATATAAATAAAGATTAAATACCCACATAAATTTGTAGACATTTTTTTTATCTATTTTTATAACTTTAGCCATTACAATTTAATACCTTCAAATTGATTCAATGTCTAGAAAAGAAAGCTGTAGACGCAAACGGGATTAGTTAACTTTCAAATCCTTTAGAATGCTGGAAAATCTTTCAAGATTTTTTTTCATGAAATTCAAAAAGATGGTCAAATTCAAATTCCTTCCAAAAGTTCGCAATAGTAATATTTATATGTTGTAAATGCGCTTTACACGTTCTGTTTGTATTCGTAAGAAGTTCTTCTAATTGTAGGTATGGCTATAACTTAAGTAGGCAATGAAAACATCTACTAGAAAAGACCTTAAAGGTAGTAGAAGGCATGACTTATCCATTTAAAAAATGTCATTTTAAAGATTGTCCGTGTACAAAACATTACAAACATAATGGCATTTAAATATATTCAGAAATTCAAAGACAAATTACAAGACAAACTAAATATACGTACACGTATATTTTTTCCAGTTTATATAAATAACGAAGTTATAAAAATGTGTTATGTAATTTTGTTAATAAAATATTTTGGTTTTCGTGTGTTTTTATTCAATAAAATGTGTATTTAGTGTAATTAATTTATGTAATTAACAAATAAAATATAAAATGGAAAAAAGTTTTCCATCAACAGTTTGAAAACAGATGTGAAAAAAATTTGTATTTGAACACGTGGCGAATCGTTATTTAACTGTGGCGAATCGTTATTTAACTGTGGCGAATCGTTATTACTCTGTGTCGAATCGTTATGAGGCGAATCGTTAGTGTGGCGAATCGTTACATTACCCTTAATATACAATGTATATACATGTATATTCTACTTATTTGTTAGCAGAAATATTCATCTTTTTTTTTAATAGTTGGCTATTTACTGATGTGTAAAACAGTTATTTAAATTACAGCTAGATACTAACACAAGACATATATTGCATTCATGAACTCCGCCTCGTAAGACATGGTCCAAACAAACATATTCAACATAGTTTTTATTTTTTATTATAACAACCACACTTAATGTCATTAAACAGTGAGGCAACAGACCTTAAATTAAAAATATGGATGAAGAATGATTCTAATGCTGGTGTCTGAATAATAGCTAGTTCCATTATACATGCATTTTATTTACATTTTATAACACAAAACTATTTTGTTTCGTTTTAAAAAAATGATTTACCAGTGCACAGCTTAACTTTTTGCAGACGACACCAAACTGTCTATATATTCTGTCATTCATGGGCACAATGATTAAATTTGACTTCAGCATTATATATTCGAAGTGTGTGACTTAGCAAGGAAATGGCAAATGGTCTTTAACCACAAAATAAATAAACAAAAATAAAAAATATAAAACTATATGTACATTGGACCAAAGACACATATGCTTTGCCAATAATGATCAAATTATCATTAAGTAATCTCCCCTTGATCATCAGGAACAAAATTGGTATCCAGCGTCCGTTTACTACAATATAAAATAGGTCAAAAGGACGAAATCAAGTATATTATGTACATTATAAAGTATAAAACTGCACATTTTATGCTATTTGCGAGTGAATAGGAGACATAAGATAAGTGCAGCTCGAATGATTAAACTTGGCATTTTTTTGTATTTTTTGAACAAAGTGACTAATTTGCAAGAGATTTTTTTTTCATCTTTAATATTATGTGTTTGCATAAAATAGACGCCCCTTTTCACAGATTAAAGAACTACACATCTTTCCCAAACAGCTAAAGTGTAGGACAGACAGACAGACATTTTATTTCAATCAAAAAGGCTTATAAGCGAACAGTGCATATGTTAAAATAAAAACATTATCACAATATAATTATGACTTTACAGGAGAAGGTCACAATAACAACTTATTCGTAAGAACGTAGGCATCCATCTAATAAGACTTGAACTGGATATGAACATAAACGGCAGTCTGATCGAAGTTTAGTTGTTCTTTTGTTTTTCCATAAAACATATATTCAGTAGCCGATTTTAATATCAAAATGGTAAAATTTTTACTCTTCATAAATTCTTCATTGGTCCCGGGTTAACTATAATTTCACATACCTTTCTGCACCTTTATAACTTACAATCGGCACTCAATGCCCAGGTGAAACAACAAGAAAGATATATAACATTTTATATCATTTATTTTGACCATTTTCATGGATCATACGTAAATACATACACACATATATAACATCAGACAAGAACGCTGCTTTAACGAATATAAAACATACATCATTTTAAATCATTCAACTATTAAAAATTACAGAAAACTTGTTTGGAACAGTATTCCAAATGGGTTTGTACAAAGATGTGGATGTTTAACTTTTTATATTTAACTATGGCCTTGGTATATATATTGTATACCTTATACAATGCAATCATTAATGAAACGTAGTTAAATACAAAATTTACTTTAATTTACTACAGAATTTATGATAAAATCTACCTATGAATGAAAGATAAACAAAAGTCCATACAAGTCATGTAAAAAAGTCTCAAATCAATTAAGTAATCAACCTCTTTCCAACTATAATGGTATAATGTAAGAAAGCTAGATGTCCAATCAGAGCATTATTTCGGACATAACTGGGCACCGAATTTAACAGAACATCAATCTACTAACAACTTACTACACATATATAGATATATAGGTACTCACAGTATTTTCGTAGAGATTTATATATTACACAATTTTGATAAAGTGTTATATGTACTGAGCCTTCAACAAATTTTCTTGAAAAAAAATAGGAATTCCCATATTACCTGATCATAAATCATTTAAATACATCTGATGTGGACTCAATATTGGACATAAGTATACTCCATATACATATCTTTTATTTAGGCTACAGCTAATTTACAAACAATATGTCATGATGAAACTGTTTCAATCACCTACATTTTACTCTTTTATCATAACAACACTGAACTCTTTAAATCAATATGATTTACTTACAGTCATTTTAACTAAACTTAAACAGAGCGACATCAATATCATTCATTTTAACAGACACATTCAACTAGATGTTTCACTATGACATGGTAAGTTAGCAAATTCCCCAGTAACACATGTTCGGTCAAAAAGCTCTTCCAGATAATTTCTTTTGCAACTATGTACCAACCATTAGGAAATACCCTAGTTTACTTTCAAACATGATGAGTTCCTTATATTTGTAATATTAACAGAATCCATGTCAATAGTACAGGTTCTACTTAACTGAATGTCAATAAAAAATGGTCGAAACATGAAAATATCTAATCATAAACAGCATATATTAAGGAAAAATATAATGTAATCAAATGAAAGGCACACGTTGACTATGAATGCATCTATGTAATGTGAAATACAATTTACTAAGTCATGACTGTTACAAATCACAGAATATCAAAAAACTTTAACAACATACAAATATAAAAATAAGTCTGGTTTCTACTAAATCTGTCAACACAACATGAAATAAATGAGAAAAAAAAATATTCACAATTAATAATAAAATCATACATTTTTCCAACCATATTACCTTATGATTTTAAACGAATTATCTTCAACTCAAACCAACAATAATTAATTTTAAGGATTTTACTATCAATATTATCAAAAGCTAACAGTCAGTGTAATGCAAAATAAGACTATGGCCAATCTGTTGGAATGTTTCCATCTAAAAATACGACCAACATTCATCATAGACTAAAGAAACATAAAATGTAGAAAACCAACAACTTAATTGTCTTAGCAAATTTTCAGTTTAAAACCCCCACCCCTCTTCTAACAACCATTTAACTAGACAGATTTTTTGTAACATAACTTGCATAAAATAGATATTAGACTTTTACAAATTCACTTTCAAAACCTTTCAACACATTTGCTAGTACAAACGTTTGGTAAAGAATGCTTTTACATGATGTAAAGAAAAAAAAAGAGCAGTCATTTTACAGTTAATTTTCCATTACCAAAATGTAAGTTCTTCAAAACGAATTACTGTACTGGTTACTTGAAATGGTGTTATCGTTCTTTTTAAATTGGACTTACTGCTCTTGCTTTTATAAAATGAAAGCAACAAATATTTAAAATGAATACACAGTTTACAATAAATCCTTAAAACGGAGGTACAGTTCTTAATACATAATACATAAGTAGAGTTACCGTTCATGCTCTTTATAATATAGTAAATATCTTGCTATTTATTATATATACTGTGAGTTTAATGCAACATTTCACACTCCTTTCTCCTTTACAATTATCAATTTAATGTGAATTTAACACAAATGAATCAAATTTGCCAAAATTTAAAATCAATTTAAACAGTTTTCTCCAAAGACCCAATCATAAAGTAACTTAAAGCATCAAATGTTAATTTTATTAACATGAATTGAAACATCCAAGCACATAAAATGAGTTACTGCACCATGACTAAATGGATATTTGGTACTTGTATAGGTGATTATAATAATGATAGGCTACCTAAAATTTAGACTGGGTTACAACTCTTCCTTGAGATTCTTGCCAAATGAAACAGCTGCTTTCTCTTGCAAATATTTGGTAAACCCTTCAACTGTTCGATCACCTTCAAATTTTAATGGGTTTTCCTTATTGTTTGCTGGTGCAAAATAAATGGTTGGGAAGCCTTCAACTTTGAAACTTTCAGGAACATCGTTGGCTGTTGCATCTAATTTGGCAATGACAAGATTTTTCTCTTTCTTTAACGATTTCCCTAGTTCTTTATAAATTGGCTCTAGACTTTTGCAATGTCCGCACCATGGGGCATAAAATTCAATTAAAACATCCTTTTTCTTATCAAGAACGATCTTTTCAAATGTTTTTCCCACAACAACTTTGACTGGTCCAGAATTCTTCTTTGGAATGGACTGTGACTTAATCTGTGGCGTCAATTTACCTGGATAGCAAACAAAAGAAACCTCATGTAACGATAATGAATGGTACTTAAGTTCATTTTGATATTTAAATGAGAAAAATAATCTTATTACAGCATTTAAACAATTAATGCATTAATCAATATTTAGGATTGGCGTCTATTGTCAATTGTTTAGAAACCAGAGTATGTCTTGCTGCTCAGCATCATGGGGTTCCAATTTCACAAGGAAAAATTATTGTAAAACAAACATCATATAAACATTATATCATAAAACATATCGAGCAGTGATTTAAACATTCGTCCCTGGAAGCATTAGAACAGAAGTTGTATGGGGGAAAACTATTATAAGTCAGGAAAACTATTGTAAGTCAGAATCTCTAAACTCATTGCAATGACATCCCTTTCTCAATTTTAACCAGATAAGCTGCACATAGAGGACATTTCACCATAGATCTGATGCTGAAATTCTAGTGTTCAAAGCAAATTAGTCTTCTTTTAAAATAGGAAATGAAGGAATAGTAGATCACTGAGCACTTATTTCATTACACTTAAGACAATACACTGACCTTTTTTCAGTTTATTGAGGAATTCTCGAACATCGTCCTCCTCATATTCATCCATTGGTTCCATTCTGTTAAAAAAAAACGAACAAAAAAATAAATTGTGGTAAATTAATTAAAATATATGAATTTGTCTATTATATGTAAGTTATAATGGACTGAGTCTTTCATTTTTCTGTCCCTATTAAGAGAACAGGTTTCTTAAGGCAGCTTTTGTTAAAAAAGATAAATATCTTATAAATTATTCCTCTTTTATCTCAAAACAGCTCATTACATTTGTTCATTCTTCATTTGTTTTGCTATATTTTCCCTAAAATCTTAATACCCTTCAACATCTAAATAAGGAAACCATAATAATTAACCATTAAATGTAATGTGTCCCAGCCAACATTTATACCATAACATGCTGATAAGACAAAACTTAGAAAATATCAATACAACATGTACATGCAGAATTTTGCAACTTAAAGCTGTCATTAAATTTTGGTGACTTAAACTTTAAATATATAAATTTTTGCTATCAGATTGTTTAAATTTCATGAAAAGTTACTTGAAATGTACTAAACTCACAAGAGTAGTTTTTTTTTCATTTATGACCAAAAGTCTACAAAGTATTTTTTTAAATTTAGTTGAATCATTTTTGTATTTGTAGTACAATCATAAATGCATGGTTTATCCTTCAAAATGTTGTATCATTGATGAATCAAATGCTAGGCCCTTTGTGATTATATTTCTAATATATTATTTCTAATATACATCTGGACGCACTAAATATCAATATCTATTTCCTAGACAAAACTTCTGATAAATCAAATAAGGTACCTGTATTTTTTACTGTGTCTAACACAACCAATATTAAATTCCTCAGGTGAGTCATCAAGACCAACTTCTTTCATCATAGTACCAATATAATCTTCTTCATTGGCTATAGCAAACTTTATGTCCTTATAGTCCTTTGCTATGTTTGCAACCTTCTTTCTCCACAACTGTGTAGCTAAAAATAAACAGGACAGAACCACTTGTAACTTTGTTCGTTTGAATGGGTTTTACGTCACACCGACACAGTATAGGTCATATGACAACATTCCAGCTTTACTGGTAGAGGAAGACCTCAGGTGCACTTTCGTGCACTATTTCAGGCAAGAACTGGCACCTGAGTACAACCACCAACATTCCGTAAGCTAGCTGGATAGCTTCCTCACATAAAGTATCAGAACCACTTGTAAAATGATAATGAGAATTATGTATAATGCCGTGTTATATATAAACCTATCATTTTCTGTATTCAGCAAGTTATTTCTTATATAAACTTCTTCTAATGATTGAGGTTATAAAAGCTACAAATCATACATACTGGTCTATAAAACTTGCAAGAATCTATATAACCTGTCAAGAATCTATATAACTAATATAACCTGTCAAAAATCTATATTATTAACCTATTTTAACACAGCCTGCTGGCAGCAATATATTTTATAAGTGACGAGTGCAGACCAAGATTAACCATCTAATCATCGTCTACACTGTTTGCTATTCAGTTAGTTAATTTTTCTGTATATTTTCCCTAAAAATAATGAAACAAGCACAGGTCCATTTTACGTAGTATGTGTTATACAAGTAGGCAAATATTATCTTAGTGAAGCTAAGGTAAAATTCGAAAGTTATCATCTCTTAATGTGAAAAATTTACAGATTTAACGTCCACCAAGCATAGTCATTTATACACCTACCCTCTCTATGGTCAAAAGTCCAGTCAACAGTAAAAAAGGCGACACAAAGTATGTCCTTCTGGTAGGCATCATAAAACTTGGATGTTGCCTGAGAATATTCACCAACTAGAGGCAGCTCTTTCTCCTTTATAAATGCTGCTATATCGTCTTCAGATTTGTCTGCCTATATACAAACAACAGAAAGAATTTTTTTATTACAAAAGTGCAATTTGAAACAATCCTTCATTGTGTACCTGACATGTTCTACTCCAAATTTTAAGCTGTCAATTGCAAGTTTCAAGCATTTTACATTGAAGCATGTCTTCAGATTAGTTGACAGATTTTCAAAATATTAAACCTTAAATTCAGTCTTGAAAATAAGTTATTTTTCAAAAGCTTATATATATTTTTTTAGTATCATGTTAGTCTTCAAAAAGCTACTCATTTGCAATATGCTGAGCCATCTTGTAATTTTGTGTTATGGCAATTAGTACACTTTTAATGACTTAGTTTTGTACAGAAGCCAAAATAATGTTTTGTTTACATTTAGCTACCTTAATCACAAATTATTTCGCATCCAGGCTCATTTTTGTTTAGTTATACACATCTTACATGTTCTATATCCATTATTATATTTATAAAACATGTGTTTGCCCTTGCTACAGAGAGAAACAGTTATTCATTTCTCAATGCTTAATGTCATTTTAAAGGAAAAAATATGAATAGTTGAACAGATGTATAAATATTCGAAGTCCCTGAAACACTTTTGAAAATATGCATATTTTAAGCAAAATAAAGTAAACATTACAACATTTCTCATAATTACTCTACCATGTTACAAGCAACATAAGGGTTTTATTTTATTTCTGTATAACTTGTCATGTTGCAAATAGTAACTGTGGATAGTATGTGCCCCCAGACAAGCTTGATTACTTTGAACTGTGTTCTGTAAGATTAACTTGAACTGAGTTCTGTAAGATCTGCATTCAACAATTTTGGACCAAAAAACCACAAGGCATTTGGGTCAGTTTTTAGCAATATCTAAACTCACTTGATAAGGGTTTTATAAGCCCAAATATATAATATTTTTTAGTGGACAGTAAAGTCAAGAATAATGATTACTAACAGTAAAGTCAAGAATAATGATTACAAACAGTAAAGTCAAGAATAATGATTACTAACAGTAAAGTCAAGAATAATGATTACTAACAGTAAAGTCAAGAATAATGATTACTATGTACAGTAATTTTGTAATTATATTCCTTGACTCAAGGATGAGGTGCTACATTTGAAATTCAGTCATTTCGTTTTCAATGGCGATGTCTTATTTTTCACAGGCCAGTTGGGCAAGTTACTAGAAAAATTTCACAGACCTGGCCCAAATTGTACAAGCCATTGGCTAACAGGATAGTGCTAAATTATCAGACTAGATCTGGTTTAAGATTGTTTAAATAATATTTTCTAACTATCAAATTGGTTTCAAATACCTTACCGTAATAATAGCTAACATATAAAATTGTAAAAGTTTCAATTATCAGCTTAAACCTACCACTTTCAGAACACTGTACTTCTGTTCATATTTTGTCCAGAACTTCTCCGGATTAAACACAACAACACTACCAGGGTTGACCTTGTAGAGGTCACGGGCCTCGGGCAGCAAGGTGTAACCAAAGGTCAAGTCTTCTCTCCTGTCATTTGCTGATACAAAGGTAATAGTTTTATTAGATATTTTTAACAAATATGGTGAAAGATATCTACTCAGATGTCTGTTTTTCATAGGTGTTCATGCAATATCAATACAGATAAGGTCAAAAGCAGAATACCGACACCTTTATTTTTTGAAGGATGAAATGTCTACATCAGCATATTGTCATTACTGTTGTCAACCTTCTTAACAGAATGCTAAAATCTACCACAGTGTTGTCTTTTTGAGTTGAATACTATAAATCTCTCAGTTTTTATAAAAGCTCAATAAACTGTATAGACTGTTAAATGTAATTACTGATAACAATTAATTTAATTTATACTGTAAATTAAGTATATTGAACTTACCAACATTCATGTATGCTCTCAATTTCTCATCCTCGAGGTTATCAAAGAAGCCAATGATAGTTGCTGATTCCTTGCTGATCATGTTTTTCACGTCATTCAGTGTTGGCAGTAGTTTGGCAGCCTCGCCAGAATATTTGTGCATGTGATCAACGATACCTTAAAATTAAGTTTAAAATACCATCATGCAATTTCATATTCTGTTTAAACATAAAATACACATTACATTTGCTGTTTAAAACACCCAGAGTTGCAGATCTACTATAAATGTCATAGTTGGTTATATGCCAAGGTTCAGATACATTTGAGGTACTGCAAAAACTTTCTGCATTGAAGTAATAAAAAAATTTAATCTTGCTTCACTTACTCTTTTATGTCAATTTAATCTTAAGTAACAACATTTTTCTTGTAGCACCAACACAGTTTAGGTCATATGGCCAGCTTTATTGGTGGAGGAAGACCTCAGGTGCCCCTCTGGGCATTATTTCAGGCATAAATGGGCATCCAAGTAAAACCACCGGTACAACTTTCTTATATGCAAGTATTCTACCCCAAAGCCCTCTACCACCCCAAACCCCAACAGAATTTCAACTTTACAGTCATAAGGACCTGCAACATAAAGTTAGTTACCCAGTCCTTCCTCGTCACCAGCAATACAAATATCTTTAATCAAATATAAATACCAAAAGCATCACGTCCTCCAGTGTAGTCTGATGGTTTCCCGTTTCTAAACATCTTCAATGTTGGGTAGCCAGAAACATCAAATTGCTTAGCTAATTCTGTTTCAACAGTGGCATCAACTTTGCCGAGAGGAATTGGTGGTTCATGAAGTATCAATCTTTGAGCAGCCTTTTCATACTCTGGAGCAAGTCTTTTACAATGGCCACACCTATATGCAAATAAATCAATTCAAACTCTATAAAACTACGCTGGAACAGGACTTTTACAACAAAACCTTACATGATACACATTAAAGGGTATACAACTATTATATCTAAAGAAATTTTTTTTTTTGTAAAATTTATTTACAGTAAAATGGCATTTTTTCCACAATTTTATGGTGGATTATCAAAATAATCACAGAATGTCTCCATTATTTAGCACACATGAATATTCTATGTACCTGATCAAAATACGGATATAATACTGCTGTTCTAAGAAGTGTTTAACAGTTTAGCAATGATTTTGTGCATGCACCTATCCCTCTAAGGGAAATAAGGTGTTTTATTCACACTCACATTTTGGACATATTCTTTTTAAAAATTCAGACAATATTTTATGCAGCAGATCTATACACTTTAACAATAATTAGCTTTATACTGTTGAACTATTTCAATCTCATTACAAAATAAAAGACCTTTTTAACATTCAATACTTTGAGCATAATAATTAATGTTACCATTTGTAAATTGTGTACATACAAAAGCTCTTTTTATCACACTTACCAAGGAGCATAGAATTCTAATAGAACAAGTTCAGCACTGTTAATAAATTCCTCAAAATTATCTTTGGTAACAGTGACAACGGTCTCTGGGGCTGGTTTGTAGTTAGGATCTGCTTTCTCGCTAACCCAATCCACAATACCTATATTGAAGGAGACAATATTTGTTTATTTTAATCCTCAAAAACTTCAATATTGAATTGCTAATCAGAGCTTTATTCCTTGAGTAACAGGAGCTGTTAACAGGCATTTTCGCCCAGGAAAATTCTGTCAAATCATGCAGTTTTCTCAAAAGTTGGCAAATTTCAATTTATGTCAGAGTTTTATCTTTCCCTTTTTGAAAATATAATTATTTGTCCTGATGATTAAGAGAAGGGCCATTGGTTGGACCAGGCTGCACAAATGTAGACTGTCATTTTAATATGCTAAACATTCATGATAATGGTCCAAGAATAGGAAATAGTTAAGTCCATTTAAGAAATTCAACAGGCCATGGGTTAATCCTTTATTGTATCTGTCATAATTTAGGATATTGTTGTAAATCAAACATACCATCAGCTTCTCTAGGACCATCATATTCTATCCAGGTATCAAATTTTTTAAATTTCAAAGTTGGGTACCCACTTACACCAAATCTAAAATCAAAGTAGACAAAAACAATTTCAATGAGACCATGTCTCCCTTGCATAAACAACATATCAAAATGTAGAAACGAAATAAAGGCAAATGTTAATGGCTAAACAGTTAAAAGTTAATTCATTTCTTGATAACCATACTGACAGATTATAAAATTATGCATTGTTTGGTATAAAGCATGAAAATCTTTCTGTGTACATTCCACAGTAATTCATACAGTTCTAACTATTTTTTGTTCAAAATCACACTGTTTAATAAACACTTTGTAAAATGTAAAACTTAAAAGTAATCCGCTATCAGAGTGAAAAATAAGAGCAAACGTTTGGCAAATAACATGGCATAAAAAGAGTGTACCTAATCATCTATCATTGACATTAACTATGATATATATTTTAAAGGTCACATGAACATTTTGTATTACCTTGTAGCAAGATCAGTGTTTTGGGTGGCATCAACTTTTCCTAGTGGTACAGGAACCTCTGCATCTTTCAAGCGAAAAGCAGCTTTTGAATATTCTGGTGCCAAACTCTTACAATGACCACACCTGAAGGACAAAACCATACAATTTTTATCACTCCACATGATGATATAGATTTTACCGGCTGTATAAAACCCTGATCTTTTCTTTGGTATCAAATTAGAATAATTTCTTCAATATTGAATATATATAGCCCTAAGATAGTGTGCATTTAACAAATATATCATTGCGTCTACTCAGCTCATAGAAAGCCTTCACTTAATTGATGCTTTTGACTCGCATGTGCTAGACAAAAGAGCGTAATCATTTCATTATTCAACTGTTAAAAGAACCATATTCTATTCATCAATAATCTAAACATCTCAAGAATTTCTGAAACTACTTAACACATATTATGTATAACAACAGCGGCTAAACCATGGCTAATCAAAAGTATACAGTTTGAAATTGTATTAAAATAGCAGAAGAGCTACATAAAACATTTGTAAGTCCTTAAATTAAAATTCAGCAAAATAGGAAATCTGTACATACCAAGGAGCATAAAATTCAACTAAAAAAGTCTCATATTTCTTTGTGACTTTATCAAAGTTATCATCAGTTAGATAGAGAACGCCTTCCTCTTCTCTCACATCTTCATCATCGCTAGATCGAGTGTCATCTAAAAAATAATTTCAAACAAAGGTTTTTAACATATCAAGTATCAGACTCTTTATAACCTGGATGCTTTTCCCTCAATCATCAATGTGTGAGTCATCAAGTATTTTTTCAATTAAATGAACAAAAAAAAATGTGCTTATTATAAACCAAACCATGCATGTGAACTCTCCCACTTTCTGCAGTCATATTTTCAAAGATTTTTCTTAAAATAAGGGTTATTTTCACAAATAAAAAAAATCTTCCTATTTTTGATGTCAGAACTTCCTTCTTTGTTTATTGCAAATTCTAAAATCTCCCTCTTTTTGAAGAAAAATCTCCCACTTGATCATCAAAAAAAGTTCACATGTATGTAAAGATACTTCAGCGAACAGGTTTTTTAGTACTGCTAGACCTGTTTGCTGAAGCCAATCCCGTATCAGAAAACAACCAGAACCGTGACATATTTATGTCATGCTGTAATTCAATAAATTTGCGTGATCTGGACCATAACTATTTTAATACAGGTAGTTAGATAGATTTGGGACACTTCAGTCTATATTTTTGAACATAGAACGTTAGATTGATGAAATAATGCCTCAAAGTTTATCAGTGGGTTCACATTTCATAAAATTTGCCATCATTGCTGCCCCAATTATCACATGACTAGCGAGAATTTAATTAGGTTTGGATACCTTTGCATGACATTTGATGACCCGTGACCCAAATGCTATTTTAAATTGAAAACATGGCTTTGCAATTATGAATAACGGTGTATTTATTGTACCAAAAACATGTTGGATTTAAATTGTTGTGAGTTATGATTCATAAATCATTTGTTTGTTTTTAAATTTAAAATCATACACTTACTAAAAAAAGTGTATGGTCCGTTACTAAAAATAGATGCTAGAATACCCAAAACTTGAAGTTCCGCGAGATTTCATTTGAAAGCAGACTCCATATTGGTAAACATTCTCTACATTTTTCCCTAACAAATTAATAGTTAGGTACACAATGTCATTGAAGCTTCATTTAAAAACAAAACATGAATTATTCAAAATTGATATGTTTAGGCCATCCTTAATAATATATATGTTTGCTATTGCCGACCCAGAGTTACAAGGAGTGGGTCGGTAGGTAGGCTTTTTTTTTTTTTTTTGATATATGATTTTACTGAACGTAAGTTAATACGCTTATTACGTTGTAGCAGATTGTGGAAATTTGGACTACACTATCATCATCTGCGACGGCAAAACTGACATGTAAAAGACAATCAAAAACAATAAAAAAAAACATGTTCACTAGTAATCATAACATGAAATAAAAAATGACTATGTGGACATTAATTCAAGCATGGTCAAATTACCGATGTGATAAACTAATCCTGCGTAAATATTCCCGTACGAACTGGAAAAATAATAGTGGATCTCCAGGACATTTCATTCTCTCGGGTGATCACTACTCAATTTATTACACGTCTGTAAAAAATAACACACGCAAGATTTGTCTCCTATAATTTCTGAATGGCGGATATTTGGAATCCGGGTCAGCTCGGCCCTAAAACGTACTCGGCCCCCGAGTCAGCTCGGCCCTATTCCAACTCGGCACGGGTCAACTCGGCCCACTTTTTATTATTAATATTAAGGTTTGTGTTATCACTATTTTTTGTTATTATGAAATTATTTATAAAACACGGATTGGCAGTTTCAGAGGCTTTTCTTATCAGTAGAATTGCGAGTAAAGATTACCGATTGCGTACCTCATTGTATTTCTGACTCGTGGTAGGTTTAACCGTAAATTTAAATACATTCAGTGTCAAACAATGTGTTGAAATAAATACTGAGAGGAAGCTAACAGCAGCTTTTAATTGGTGTAACAAATTTTAAAATAGGACATTTAATCGCCCCAAACTAGCGATTTAAACACAGCTAAATTTGCATTCTTTTGCAAGCGAAGGGAAACAAAGGAACTTTTTCACTCTTTATACCTCGGTTATTTACGTAGTTCAACAGATAGAGTTTATAAATATAAGACAAATAAATAACATTTTTTTTTCTAAATTTATCTATATACTTTATTTCGGCAGAAGTATAATTATATAATAATAAGATATTTCTTATTATTCATTTACCGTAACAACATGCAAAGCAAAGTTAATACGTTATATATATTTTGTAAAGGGGGCCGAGTTAACCCGTGCTGAGTTGACCCGTGCCGAGTCGGTATAGGGCCGAGTTGACTCTTTTCCGGATATTTGCACCCCTGTTTTAAAAATGTTAAAATATTTCATTGTTAGTTACCGAAAATTATCGCCGATTGTTGAAATTCCATAGCGCTAAAAGCCACCATAACACTCACGCAAAAAGTAGCATCCGTAAATAAAAGGAATAAAATTTTTCCATTTTTAAATAATAAATACAAAATTTACACACCAAATGACCTCTGACAAATGACTGGTCGGCTCTTCTAAAGAATCTGTGAATCTTTGATGTTTACACACCTGTAGTTGTTGCCGAATCATCAAAGAAATGCCGACACTCAATTGACTTCCACCTCTTTTTTATATATCAGAAAAAAACTGTCATTTCTTTTTGTCAATGAATGATTACACATTTTTAATTATTGCTCAAGTAAAAAAAAAAGTTGGATATTTATTGTGTCAATTATTGACATATTATTTATCGTTAGTGCATTTTGACATGGAGTTTAATGAGACGTATGTATATCTGTGATTTTGATTTTGATATTTTATTTACATTTTTATGATCTTGAAGATATTGTGCAATACTTTTGTCTGCTGCATATGAAAGGACCACAGCTTCTAAAAAAATATTTTTTCGGTCAATTTTATGACAGAATCCCTGCTGCTACCAGAAATGTTTTATTGCATGGGCTAAGTATTTAATCTGTGTCGACAGTCATAAACAAACGAACATGTACTAATTACCACATGGTAAACTAGTGACCATATAAATGCTTTACAAATATTCATTAATTGAACAAACATTATTTTTTATCCCGTTTCCACACTTTAATTGGGTACGTTCTATTATTAGTTAATTCAACTTAATTGCCGCGCGCATGCAGTACTGCGTGACGTAAGGAAAATATCCTTCCCTGGTTGGTCGCTATTTATGTAAATACTTTAAATAGGAATGCACAGAATGCCCTCATGAATGATCACTCGTTACTTTACTCATTAAATGTGTGATTTTCTTCCGATTTTATTTTTGTTTTCGAGGGAATTTTTTTAGGTCGAATGCCCTGGCTGATTTGGCGGAAATAAAAAAAAATCTGATTTTTTTAAGCTGAAAAAAACTTTTGAGTCGGGGCATTTTCGCTGGGTCGGCCGGCAATAGCAAACAGATAATTTTTTAAGAGTGGCCTTATCAAATGGTATTTTTATTTGACCCAAATTTGATTAATAAGGGTGATTTTTAAAGGCTTTTATGTATGGCACACAAACTGCCAAAATTCTGGTAGCCTTTGCAAAAAGGGTTGACCCATAACTTAACTGTCATGCAATGTGAAAATAAAAGCAACATAACTTAAAACCATGGAAATAGGAGAAAAATAAGTTAGTAATTTGAGGATAAGATTAACAGTTTTTGGAACATTTTCTAGCTGATTTTGCAGTAATTTTCCAGAAAAAAAACTAGCAAAGTATCATGATGCCTCTGTCAAGACTTTTATATACAACACAGGGAGAACCTACCAAAGTAGACCATATATTGCGAAGTAGACCATAATTATATTGACATGACAGTCTTTTGGGCCAGGGCAGACAGTGGCTCAAGACATGGCAGACTCAGACTGAGGGACTGTAATTTTAATTATGTCAAATTTTATAGCTTATAAGATCAATATCTTATTAAGTTAGAGCTGTCATTGATTCAGTGCTTTTTGCTTTTCTATTTTGAAGAACTTATTAAAAGTTTGTGTTAAATTTGAGACCCCTTTTCCGAAAGTATGCCAAAATCACGCATAATTTCCCAAAGAAAAAGGCTGAGGCCCCTACCCCTAACATGGTGTTTTGGCTCTGACTAAGTATAGGGACAAATCAACCTAGCAAGGATCTGAGACGACACCGCATATTTTTGGATTCAAAGTTAAGATAACTTTTAAACGAATAAATATCATTAGAATAAGAAATTCAACTTACTGTCCTCATCATTAGATTCTTCTGTATCTTCTGCAAAAGAGACAGCAGCTGTCAAAATCAAAATTGCAAGAAAAATAAAGTGATATTTCTTTGACACTTCCATAGTCGCCGGTAATGTACGCTTTCAGTGACCTTACAACACAGTAACCGGAAATACGTGCATTGTAAATATAGTTCTGTACTATTTATTTGTTGAACGTTATCAAAGGGAAAATTTTAGCAACACTTTTATTTCTTTTAAAAGCTGTTTAAAGACAGTTTTTTAAAGTATATTTTTTGACGTTGGTTCATTATTTAATGTATTGTAACTGCGCATTAATACAATATTTCAGCCAATGAAAAGTTGCCAAGTCCTGGCCACGTAATCAAAGGGCTTGAAGTTGCTCAAATTAACATACATGTATACATATAATTAAATGTAGGGTAAAAACACTGAATATATATGTGATTTAGGTTCACAATTATAACTGACTGTACAATTTTTAATTTTCATAATTAATCTACACTAACTATCGGTAATTTCTGACAAAAGTAGTAGACTCGTTACTGGCAATTTGATGTGAGTGATTTTTTTATATATTGGTAATAAAATAATAAAAAATTGTTCAACGAGCAAAGTGGATCTTATTCTTATCTGATAACGTTAGTCTATCTTGTCAAATATATAATTCCCAACCTAATATATCTTTCACGCTAAAATAAAACAAAACAAAAATAGGAACAGTTCTGATCGATGGTTACGTTTGCACAGGTATAGGTGTATATATTGCACAAAATATCTATATATATGTAGATATACCCCTATAGATTAAAAGTATTGTTTACATCTAATGCTATATTATCGCATACATTTTGTAAAATGTCCGATCTATCAACACATCTGGCATTTGTATCTCCAATAATTGATACTTTACCATGCTCCTGATACTTTCGAATGTTATGTGTTCTAATTAAAAAAAAACAACAACAAAAACAAAACAATTTCATGATTTAAATAATAAATCGAGTTACTTGGTGGTATATATTCAAGACAAACATAGATAATAATAATAATAATAATAATAATAATAATAATAAACTCTTTATTTAACGAAGGTAACTTATTAAGACAATACATCAAAGAATTAGATACAACACATATAATGCAAAATCTTATTTTCAACAAGGCCTTCAATAAAACATAAACATAACAACGGACATATTCAAACAATTGTAAAGATTACAACATTCAGTAAATCTTAATCAACAAAGAAGACAGACATAATATTATATTATAATATAGGTAAATTTTCTATAATTCATCTCTAGATAATAATAAATGTTTGAAATGTGATTTAAATAATTTAAGACTTGAAAGATTTCTTATTTTTAAAGGAATAGTGTTCCATAACTCCATACTAGAATAATAAAAAGTACGTTTCAAATAATTTGTTTTAGGTCGTTTATGCATAATATCTTTTTTATGTGTTGATCTTAGTAAGTTTTATTTTGAGATAACGGAATTAGATTAGAAATATATGCTGGCGTTAATTCATTCATCGCTTTATATACCATAATTCCAGAAAAGTATTTACATCTAGATGGAAAAGATAACCATTTCATATTTTGAAACATATCAAGAGAATTTGTTTTTACGGGTTTATTTAAAATAATTCTAGCGGTTTCTTTTTGTAATTTTTTTATTCTATTTAGATCTGATTTGTTACATTGGGACCAAATAATACATCCATAATCAAAAGTAGGGGCAATGTAAGCGTTATGAAATAATTGTTTCATTTCAGGTGTAAGAAATATTTGAATTCTTTTCAGCAGAGATATTTTAGAAGCAAGCTTAGAACATGTTTTGTCAATATGTGTTTTCCAAGATAGACAGTTATCAATATGCAATCCAAGTAGCTTTTGACAATGAACATTATTTATACTCGAATTCTCAATATGCCGAAAAAATGATTGCCTATGTTAAAAATTTTACATTTTGATCCAATTATCATGCACGTGGTCTTTATTGGATTTATGGCCATATTATTGAGAGTGCACCATTCCTGTATTTTTAGTAAGTCTAGTTGCAACTCAGACTGTATATTACTCAAACTTTGGTCAGCTATGTGTAATGTTGAATCGTCTGCGTACATATCAATGTCTGAATTCGTAGTGACTGATATATCATTTACATATAAAAGAAACAGTATAGGACCTAAGATTGAGCCCTGTGGCACGCCTGATATAACCGGTAAGCTTTCAGATTTATCATTGTTGACTTTTACAATTTGCTCTCTTTTAGAGAGATATGACTGGAAAAATTGTACAGAGTTTTCAGAAAAATGATAAAGTTTTAATTTATGAATCAATATATTATGGTCAACTAAATCAAAGGCTTTTTTAAAATCTAAAAATACAGCACCTATTATATTTCCATCATCAATATTCGTAAGCCAAGCATCTATAAGGCGGATCAAAGCCGTTTGGCAAGAATGATGTCTCCGGAAACCTGACTGGTGTTCATTAATGATATGGTATAATGAAGATAATTATTTAGCTTATTTGCAAACATGCCTTTCAAGTATTTTTGAAATGGTTGGGAGAATAGATATTGGCCTATAATTATTGGGGTTTGACTTATCTCCCCCTTTGTGTAAAGGTATAACACGTGCTAGTTTCAGTTTTATCTGGGAATATACCTAGTGAAATACTCTTATTAATAATTGAAGTTATTGCTCTCGTTATAGAGTCTTTACATAGTTTTAACATATTAGGACCAATACCATCAATGCCAGAAGATTTATTTTTATCAAGGTTGTCAATATATTTGCTTACTTCAAATGTGGTTATGAAATCAATGTCAAATTGCTTATGTCTAAGTTTATGATCTAGAAAATCTTTTAAATACGAAAAATTGTTAACATTAAAATAAGATTTCTCAATTAGATTTGAAATTTCTGTAAAATGTTTATTTAAGGCATTTGCAACATTCACATTTCCTTCAGAAAGAACATCATTAATGTTTAATGTGATTGGTAAAGACGGTTGCTGCTTATTCTCATTTGATATATCTTTTAAATTTTGCCATAAATATTTACAATCTCTCGAATCTTCAACTGCCTTGTTATAGAACATCTTCTTACTCTTTTTAATAATAGCCTGGCATTTATTTCTCCATAACTTATAATTAATCCAGTCTTTACAACTTTTATAGTGATCTCTTTTATTGCGGGCCTCTTTAATTTCGTCAGAGTACCAATCTGGTTGTTTAGTCCTTTTAATACGCTTTACTTTTACAGGCGCATGTTTGTTAAATAATGTTTCAAGCATATTGTATAGAACATCAAGTGAGTTATTTGGCTCTGCAATAGTTTCAATCATATCAAAATTATTAGCATTCAAATCATCTTTAAATACTTGTTCATTAAAATTCTTGAAAGAACGATAATTTATCGTTTTATGCGAGAAAGCATTTGCCTTCCTTCTTGTAACACAATTTATTGTAAACGACAATGGATAGTGATCGCTTAAGCTTAAATTAGAGACACTCACATCATGAATATGGTTAAGGGAAGATACGTACAAATGGTCAATTATAGTAGATGTATCTTTAGTTACTCTAGTAGGAGATTGGATTAATTGCTCGAGGCCAAAATCTTGAACAATATGCGCCCATTTGCTATTATTAAAATTGTTAGGGCATGAATAGTTAATGTTCATATCTCCAATTACATACAAATCTAGATTATTTAATTCTGCATTAATTAATTGCTGCTCATAGAAATCAATCCAAGACTGGTTACTGTTAGGTGGCCTGTATAAGAAATTTAACAGTACAGATTTATTGTGTGAAAAATTAACCTGTAACCAAACAGATTCCACATTTTGCGATTCAAAACCCCCAAAAAGTAATGCCCCGGTCACATATTCACGGATAATGCCACGGAAGAGCTACGGTCTAATTGTTCACGGATTACTACGGAAATGTGAAATTCCGTAGTCCGCTACGGTTCCAGTACGGACACACAACGGTATGAGTACGGAGTTCGACGGATTTACCACCAAAAGCCCCGGGAGAGACACGGATTGTTACGGACCGACACGGTTTGATACGGAGCGACACGAATCAGGACGGACGCACTACGGATACACTACGGTCTGCTACGGTATAAGCACGGGTTAGTACGAATAAGTACGGTCTGATACGGAGAAGAACGAATTGATACGGAGAAGAACGAATTGCCACGGATCTATACGGACCTATTATATCCGTCCACAACCTCTTGCATGCTCAATGTCTCACAAGAAAAGAACACCTGGAAAACGAATTGCAGAGTTCAATGATTTTGGCGGAAATGATTCGGCCTCATCGCGTCCGACCCCCGAGACATATCAGGTCTGAGTATAGTGAATATAGCCGGATCCTCAACAAGTTCGATCATGAGAGCCTCATACTAAACATGAAGGGGTCTTCGTAAAAGCCCATCTCTAGTCAACCATCACCTCTGTCTTCTCTTACCTGATTAGATATGGACCAGTAATCATTAATGAAAAATGTTGATCAATACTGCTTCTCTTTTGATTTTAAAATGTGCTGTTCATTTACAATTACATAATTATCGTGAATGTTTATGTTTTAAGAATATGTAAAATGCTTGTTAATTAATCTTAGTATCACTCAAGGGCCAGCGTCCGAGGCTTATGAGACACTTCGTTTTATGTACATATTTACTCCAATTTCACAATTCAATGGTTTGTAAAATATACTTATGCATTGTTGTACGATATTAACATATTTTTTTACCCCTATGCATGTCATGAAGCAGCTCGACCACTGCCTCCGTATTCTGAGCCATATCAATATACAATTGCAGCCAGTTAATGGCAATTATCATTTATTGAATGTTCACACAAATATCTGTTTTGAACAAGCAGGCGGTATTTGTACCTTTGAAAAAGTACATGATACTTAATTTATCCGTACTAAACAGTGGTGGACCGTACCATTCCGTACCGTTTCGTGATGCAACTCAATAAACCGTAAAAGACCGTGCTAATCCTTGCCTCTCCGTAGTACAGCGTATTATGATCGTGGCTTTCCGTGATAATGCCGTATTAATCCGTATTAAAACCGTAGCTTATACGTAGGGTAACCGTACACATACGTAGTTCTCCGTACCAAACCGTGGACAAGTTGGGGCCTACGAATCAGTACGGACTAGAACGGTTTACGTACGGACAAGTACGTATCA